ATACATTTTTATTTTCATGAACAATTCGAAATTCGAATTCAATAAACTTTTTTGTGGCCAGCATTCTAAAAGAAAAGTTTTTACTGTGTGACAATACTTATGACCTGACTAGTTATAATGACACTTACCACTACGCTCTAAATTCCAATTTTATTTAAAAATATTTTTAATCAAATTAACACATGACGTACACATTATATTATTATGTTTATTCATTGTTACGATATGATGATTATAATTTTCCTGTTCTCACAAATATGTAATGTAGACTTTCCGCGGGGTATTGTTATAGGCTTATGTTGGCCTTGAATATTCCATGTGAAAACACACATTACCCAAAACCAGCCGGAAATTTTTCATCAACCAATATTGCAGCTGCAATTCACGCTTAAATGAGATCAAAGTATTTATTTTGAATTTAGATCATTTATGTTACGCACAATCATTAAAGCGTGGTTAACGCAATAGATTTTGAAAAATGGGTAAAAGGCCTACCTGGTTAAGTGGTTATCGATAGTTTCAACTATCACACAGGTGAATTTCGCCAAGAGATCGAGGTCTCAATTGTAGTGTAACGGTAGTCCACCCTTCAAACCAGAACGCATTCACGTTAGTAATAGGCAAGTTAGCGATACCTACCCGGGCTATCTGCGGTCATATGCCCATACCACTACAATAATTACGTAAATTTATAAATTTTGCGATTTTCATTTTTATTATACGACGTAATTCCTTAGTCGTGAATGTCCTTCGGGAAAACATAGAAAAATCCCATTTAAACAATAAAAAAAAATCGTTATCTGCCTTCAGACCGTAAGTCCTTCTCGGCAGCGACGAGTCCTGGCAGGCGATGCTCGACTTCTACGAGTTCACCATCTCGCGGAAGGAGGTCACGGGGCGACCTCAGGGGTTTGAGGCTGCGTCCCGCGCTACCGTCACCCTAGGCACCAGGAAAATGTGACAACGCGTCGGCGGCTGCGGCCTGCGTTATTATATATTTATTATATATTAATATTTTTCGATAGGTAATTTATTTACAAATCCATAACATGACTATATTAGATGTATTAAAAACATCCCCATGGCTATTTCGGTAGAACTGGTGACAGATTGACATTCACATTTTTTAATAATTTTATAATTTGAATTTTTTTATGAATTCGATAATTTTAAAAAACCGTGAACTAAGTATTATTTAATTATATTTTTCGCATAGTACGCAATGTAATACAATTAATAGCAACAGAAGCGATTATACCGAAACCGGCGAGCGTCCGCGTTCCACCTTCGCTTCGTTAGTGTATATTCTTCTTTTTATTGCCTACCTATGACCGAAACCTCGAGGGATTATGCTAGCTTCATCTAACATGAAGTTGCTTAGCCTGGTGAATTTGCTAACACTAGCCCTAGCAAGAGCAATGCTTCTCCAAATCTACCACCGAATCAGAATCGCGATCCACTGTGAAGATCCGGAAAGATTCTTTTAGTCTGTGGATGTGTCTGAGGGTTAATTTACTCGCCGAGCACTTCATCGCATTCGATGGGTTCGGCCAGAATGATACAGAAAATGCCTAAAAGCACCGATAGTGGATCGGGAGGATCCGAAGTGACGTGTTTTGGGCGACGGCTACTTTTTTCGTTTGGTCATGCATGTTTGGTCGCATGATCGGATATGGTTATTCATGAAGTAGTAAGGTCACTTACTAAAATGCCAAGAGTTCGTATAATTCTAGCAAATTAATTTTGATTTACTCTTTTTTTTTAATGTTTTGAATACCGTTTCAAGCATCGGGAAGGGTTTCTTGTCACGATTGTACAATACAAAAAAGTGTAATTAGCCTACCATAGTATTAGGAGGGTAAATTAAAGGCCTAAACGTGGTCACAATATTAATTTGAAGAATTTAATTAACTTACTAAAAAAAAATTTCCCAGAGATATTAAATTAACAATTATGTTGTCCATTATTATCAAATAATTTATGTTTTTTCTTGAGCTCTGTTTGCTTATTATTTGAATAAATATATGTATAATTATTATTATTCATCGTTATGTCTTTTTTAGAATTTTGTTGTTTCCTAAAATACTCCTTATCTAATTAAATTAGACCTTTTTTTTTAAATAATGAGGAAACGGAGTCGAAGAAATAATTAAACTCGCCTCTATTTCAAATGTGGGACACTTCCGTTACACAGTTCAATTGAAACTTGAACGTTGTGTTTCAGGGTGGATGGTGGTATTCGCATTTGTGTTTTAATGAGCTCCTAATCACTTAAGACCAGGTGGGCCGTGAGCTCGTTAACACGTCAAATCATCAAATAATACTGTTAATGGACAACTTCCACGATAGTGAAATAAGGCCAAAAAAGTTCGAAGTTGCGAATGATAATTTGACATTCTGCCCGCATATAAAATCAGTCCGCGACCGTGCCAAGTTTATTCTCGGTAGACTCTACTCCATGATCTGTAAGCGGAGTAAAATGTCCCTTCGAAACAAGGTAACACTATACAAAACTTGCATAAGGCCCGTCATGACTTACGCGAGTGTGGTGTTCGCTCACACGGCCCGCACACACATAGACACCCACCAATCTCTATAATCCCGCTTTTGCAGGTTAGCCGCCGGAACTTCGTCGTTCGTGAGGAACGTTGACCTACACGACAACCTGGGCCTAGCATCAATCCGAAAATACATGTATTCAGTGTCGGAGCGGTAATTCGATAAGACTATGCTTCATGATAATCGCCTTATCGTTGCCTCCGCTGAATACTCTTCGAATCCCGAACACGCAGGAGCCAGTCACGGTCGTCACCGTTTAGCTCTAACACTAGGAGCACACTCGTCCAACTCGGCAAAGAATTTGAGGTGTAACCTAACCTAAACATCAGAACATTGGATCCTCGCCGGATCTTCTCAACGGGTTGCGATTCCGATCCGGTAGTAGATTCATTCGCGAAGCAGCTCCTCTTGAGTTGTTAGGTCACCCTTGGAGGCGCTCGAGAAGCTGTTAGTAAATCCCACCACTCCTGGATGAGCTCTTGCTCGCCCACCTGTTCTTGTAAAACTGGAAAGGCCTCCGGGCTACCAGTAATCCCTCAATCATAAAAAAGGATGATAATATTTTATCAAAGGAGAATGTTGTAAGCTCAAACGTGACCGGAGTACGAGTACCACCCGTCCAGCCAATTTCACGTACAAAGTCATCATACGTAGGTACCGATTTATTCCAATGCAGAATCACGTCGAAGATTTTGTCTCAAGGTGGACTTTTTTATTCGCGGTCACTAGGTCTCCGATCTTGTTTTATGTTGTTAGTTCATATTAAATTTTTGTGAAAAATGCGAAAAAAATCATCAATTTTCGTAATTTTGTAAGGATCCTACCTAATTCTCATCATAATTACTATGTTAATAACAATACAGGATACGGCAGCGATAAATGTAGATCGTATTGTATAACAATATTTAATGTAATGTCACGGAGGAAACAGACGAGTACGTTTGTATGAGCTAAACGCAACCTGCATTTTCTCTTAAAAGCTAATACGTTGTAATTTGTTTGACGACTGATAATCTTCTAATCCTATCGTGTAATTACGACGTACGTCTACGTAATTTCCTGTTATGGATCCTCAGTACAGCGATACTTTAAAAAAGTTATTGAATTTATATTACAACTAGATGATGACCGAGCTTTGCTCGTTTTTTTTATTTATAACGCCATCTTGTTGTTTCTTTAAAGCAGTTACTTTCTCTCAATTACGAAAAATAGTATTATTATTCGCTAATAGATGTCGGTCGGGAAGAGTCAGTTGATTATTGAAAACACGAAAAAAACAACATTTTCTGAAAATAAATCGTAGCTAGATCGATTTATCGCCCCCGAAATCCCCTGTATACTAAATTTTATGAACATCGTTGGAGCCGTTTCCGAGATTCAGATTAAAGGTATAAGGTTAAAGAGATCAGCTATGAAAATATTTTATTCAACAGCTGTTAACCAAATCATAATTGCAATTCTAAAACTATAAAGTGTAAAAGAATATTAAAATAAACATGGTTGTTTCATTAAAAAAAATGTTTTTATGACCATTTATTATAATATAATTCATGGCTTCACGCAATACCTCAAACAATGGGCTAAAGGATTAAAAAAACATTTATAAAAAAACAGGTTTTCTAAATGATAGTTATTTACAAAAATTTTATGCTCAAACTCGATGGTTTCATGAGTAACCGTTCAAAAACCGTTCAATCATACTAGGTCTATAGTAACACATTGTTAATGTACAGCTATTTAAAGTTTTAGGGGAATAGTTTGAAGTCTGCGAATGAATCTGATAAATATTTATAACAAACATAAGTCTTAGGTCATGAATCCACAATTATTTGGTGGGAAATTATTCCAAACTGTCATTGTTCTATGACCGCTACGAAGGATCAGTCGTCGGAATGGTAAGTCGTTTTTATGTCTTATAAACGGATGAATAGTATTAACTACTTCTTTCTTGTTACATATTTAATTATAAAGGACACTGGGCAACCGCATCTTTGAAATTCCGTTATCAATAATTAAATTTCTAACACACAGGATTTCCCTTTCTCGTCTGTAGTGTTACCAATATTTTAAAATAACTATCCTTTTATTTTTGATTTGAAAAAGATTTATTAGCTATAACCAAATTCGTATAACAGTTTTCAAAATTAATAATAGAGCGAATATTCGTATGCGTGTTTATACAACAATGTTTATTTATGCATCAGAGTACCGTGTCACTATATAGGTTAAAAATATATTTGAACTTTCTAAAGTAACTAGCTAAAAAACAAGCGTCAGTTTTATTCAATATAAACATTTGAATAAAATAACATAAAAACAATATTACAGCTCTTAATGTGCAGAACCCATAAAAAGTCAACCAAATAGATAGTAAGATATAATTATTTGCTGAGAATGACACTGCTTTTATTGAACCATTTCCTTGACACAGACTCTTAATCTTAATCAGTATCAGAATCTTAACTTAATGACCACAGAATCTATAGCAACCATATTGATTCTAAATACCAGTTAAATTCAACTCTTTGAAAACATTTTGCACGTTCATTGCGAAGAAGGACCCCCTTATCATAGTGTCGCAATTCCAAGAAGTATCCCTGCAACCTTGCTAGAGTATTGGCAGGTTTAGGATCTATATTTCGAGCTCTATTCAGTGTCGGAGTCATATGGAAGGTAAAGCCAATTTAACTTTTAAATATTGGGAGTCCTCAACAGAACGAAACGGTACTCCACGCGTCAATAAAGTTTTACACAATGCTTTTGTCCGGCCTGACGTGAGTGATTACTCCCGCTTCGAGATCTGTATTCTCGTGGATTATTTGGAATCTCTGTGTCTACAGAAGGTCGTCAGCTTTCTCTGTTTTGTACTTACTATCTGGAATCGGTGTGTTCATTCACAGTGCGTTTTCAGAGATATTTTTGGCCACGTACCATCCCAATCTAGAATAAACTCTCCTTCACTGTGTTTCCCGAGCGCTATGACATGTCCTTATCTTTGTCCTTTTTCAAACTAGGCTTCTGGAGAGTTTAGTAAGTGGCGGCTTGGCTATGCCTCTGGCATTACTAACATCTATGGGCGACGATAACTGCTTACCATCAAGTGAGCCGTATGCTTGTCTACCATCTAAGGCAATAAAAAAGTTTGGGATCATTAAATGTGTTTTTTTCGCATAATTTTGCCCAATTTTAGGCTCTCCACAGTTGTTTTAATTTAAATCGCAAACATTATATGACAAAAATACTTAATATTGTCTGCCTAAAAATGCTGAGTAACAAACACATTACGTTAAAATGAGGCCTCAGGTCAAATCACCTTTTGAAAGCGTTTTGCAATTGTAATCAGAATCGACAACAAATAAATATTCAGTGTTCAATTTCATTTACTTTTTATTTAGTCACGTTTCTGTATTCTCGTTAATTATTAATTAATTTAATTATTCAATTCAGTTACGATCAATAAATATTAAGTGAATGTTTTAAAAAGAAACAGGTAAAAAATACTATGTACATATGTTTTGGTACATTTACAATTGTGTGATAAATATGATTATGCTTTACTTAGTTGTTTTTTGTTTGTGGCATCTAGGTAGAAACCAAAATGGCAGACGGAAAGCAACCGGCGACTCCTGGAGAGGAAATAAATCTCAGTAAGAAGAGGGAAGCAAACTGGCCCGCTGTACTTTTCTTCATTCACATACATCTGCTCTCCCTTTATGGAATTTACCTTCTGATATATGAAGTTAAATGGATGACGGTCATATTTTGTAAGTTTTCTCCACTTTTTAATACAATTCAATTTTAATACAGTTTTATTTTTATCCTACCTATGCTGAAAGCCTTGAGAGGCTATTTCAGCGTAACCTTAACTAGTAGGTGAGCTCACGGGGCTCAAACCTGACGACGTTGCTAACACGAACCCTAGCAAGAGCCGTGCTTCGCAGAATCTACCACAGAATCGGAAACGTGACCCACTGAGAAGGTCCGGCGAGAAACTCAGTGGGCTGTATCTGTGGGTTAATTTACTCGTCGAGCCCTTCGTCGCAAGCGATGGGTTTGACGAGAACGATGACCGATGCTTGAGGTATCTAAAAGCACCGTTAATGGGTCGGGAGGATCCGAAATGACGTGTTTTGGGCGACGTCGACTATTTTCCATTCTGTCCGCAAGATCGGAAATATTAATACAGTAACACGTACGCATTTGTTAACAAAATATTTTAGAGATAGCACGGTATTTTACTTACGATTAACTTCAGCTCTTCGCTCATCTGTCAGTGCTACAAAAATCATATTTTAGTGACTATATGAAGTGCTATTAAGTATAGAAATCAATGGTATTAAGATTATATTATTTTTAAAGATGCATTCGTCCCACCCGGTGCTAAGTAATTACTGAAGCCAAAAGCAAGGTTTAAAACCATGACAGTAACAACGTTATAGGCATAGCTGCAATGCTACTGTTGTGACTGGACGAGTGAACCAACTCGAGTTGGCCAGGGTCACACGCACGGTCAATAGTAGTACCTAATAAATTTATCTGAGAATAACTATCCTCAAATTTTATCTCAAAGAAATTATCTACCTTAAACTCTATTGGCTAAGATATAATGTTGTTAAATATGATTAAAATATTTTTCAGTAATAACATTGACATTTCCCGCCATACTCGCAATGACGACCGGAGCTCATCGACTTTGGGCGCACCGTACTTACAAAGCAAGCACAGAATTGCGCATTGTTCTAATGCTGCTTCAGACTTTAGCTGGTGTTGTAAGTATATCTTAAAAAATCAAAACCCGGCGGTGCGATCAGTTGCCTTAATTTACTTATGTTCACCGTCACTCGCGGGGATGCAAGAAGCAATATCAGGAGTACAGGCAAGCTGCTGCTCATCCTTGAGTACTCTTTTTAAATTTCATTTGAAGAAGGACAAGAGCTTAGAAAACAACGAAAAGTAGTAGGTAGCCATATCATCAGCGAAAAGCGCTAGATGAGTCTCTGGTGATCGGGATATATGGTTGATATACAAACTAAACAATAACGGGGAGAGCGCTTTGTAGATCAAACTGTTGTGGCAGCCTTTGTCGAACGCCATCGCGATTTCGAAGAAGAGGGCTCCAGTCGGGATGTTTTTCCGCCTATTCAGTCCTATTAAGATATGCAGAGACATGAGACTCCGTATTATTACTCGGAGTTCTCGCTCCTCCTGAAGAGCATAAGTATGATAGCCTACCTTGTATACCTTGTTTCGTCGTGGAGTTCCGGGACTTCACGGAGCGGGCGCGTTTTTTGCCGAGCGCGACGGTCGTGAACCTATCCGAGGTACCGGGTTGTACGCTGGCGGCGGACTCAATCTCGATAGCAGAGTCCATCTCCGATTCGCTATCGGAGCCTGAACTCGAGGATGCGACAGACAACGCGATTGAAGTCGGACAGATGACGTAATCGACGCGATCGACAAGGGTACGGGGGCAGTGGGGGCGATGGGCGCCACGGCAGCGGTGCGTGTGCGTGTACCTGCGAGGCACGGTTCGCGACGGCGGCGAGAGATGCAGAGGGAGAATAATCGCCACATTTGGCCCTATAGGCCACGAACTCGGCCGCGAGGATCGGTATTTGTCCGAAAGGAAATTGATAAAGGACGCGTCTGCCTCCATTATCCCCGGGGGGCGTCCCCGGGGCACTACACGCACTCGCCGAAAGGTGTATCCCCTGGATGGGGTTTGAATCCCCTGCGCTGTAAAGACAGCAGTGAGGGAGGAGTGCTTATGTTGTGAAAACAACAATTAACAGAAAGATTAGGAAGAGAACCTCTCGGGCTGTATTCGCTACAGCGAAGGGATACCGAGCGGGGGCTTAGCCGTGAACTCTTCATAGGATACCCCATAGGACTTATTAAGATTTCCCAGAACATACTGCACTAAAATTATAAGATTTTTTAAATGGTTTATTTCATTTAGGGTCCTATTTACAACTGGGTTAGACATCACAGGCTACATCACGCACACTTTGCTACAGAGAATGATCCATTTGACTACAACCAAGGTTTCGCATACGCCCACATCTTCACGCGAATGAGGAAACTCAGTCCGTACCAGGAAAAATTAAAAGAGTCCATCGACATGTCGGATCTAGAAAATGATTCTGTTGTTATGTTTCAAAAGACGTAAGTATATATTTACCTAAATATTTTTTCAAATTACCGTTAACATCAAAAATCTTTGATATCATCATCTTAATTCTCCTGCCCTTCTCCCAGTCACCTGGGGTCAGCGCAACATGTTTTCTTTTTCCATACTCCTCTATCATATACTATTTCTTCGCTCACTCCTTTCTTACACATATCGTCTTTCACGGAATCCATCATTTTTTTCTAAGATCTATCTCTTCTTCTAAAGCCTTCCACATTCATAGTTAAACCTCTCTTAACAACCTCATTATCATTTCGTCTAACCGCTTGTCCATACCATCCCAAACTATCTTTACATCGAAAAAAAAAAATTAACAAATTATTTTAAAACTACTACACTTTTTATTGCTCTAGATTAACAGATAAGCCATCCACTATTAAGAGGTTACTGGAACCCACAGACAACACAGCTTGAAAGCTGCTATGCACCTTGAGACATGAGGTCGCAGCCATATTTAGGTACATTGTAGAGCGGCTGTCACATGCTATACACCGGACCGCAAAAAGACATTAGTATCTAAGGCGAAGTAAAATTGCAATAAAATAAAGAATTAATGAACTGTCGTGATAATTTCCTTGCTAGTGAATTCTGACCGTGAACGTTGACAAACTTACTATTTACATGAAAACAGTTCATTAATTTATCCGCAGTCCTGGCAAGCAAAATTATGATAGAGTTATTTTGGCAATATTTTTACTTTTCAGTAATATGTCTGTATTATTTATCCTTCGAAGTCGGTATACGTTAGTCCACTTTTAGGAAAGGCTTTCGATAACTTTGAAATTTTACGTAAAATTTTTCCTTTGAAGTTATCACCGAATCTTATAAATTTGCTATAGTTCACATAGAACTAAATAGACCGCGCGGCAGATCACCGTTACGATGGACCGGCCAAATAAAGGCAGCTCTGAACGGTCCTGTTAACGAGTGCACAAGAAGGGCCGCGGTACGGTAAAGAATAGCGACGTCTGGTGAAGTGCACCACCACCAGAAGTGATGACCACGACTACTCTGCCAAGAGTGCATGCGACTGAGAAGAAGAACTAAATTTAAGATATTTACAATATTTTATGAAAAATGTAAATTCCAAATATGTTTTAGGCTATACTGGTTTATGTATGCAACGCTGTTCCTACTGTTGCCCCTGAACGCACCACTCGAGTATTGGGAGGACTCAGTATTAAGTTCCGTCTTTGTTATTGGCTTTCTTCGATACTTCATCTTACTACACGCGTCTTGGTTGATAGAAAGCGCTATCTGCGTTTGGGGATTGAAACCTGGAGAAAAGTGAGATTCTTTATAATTTGCCTAAGTATATTTTTTTTGTCTCGTCACCTGAAACCATTCAAATAAGTTGGTGGTAGGGCGTGTTGAGAGCCTGGACGGATAGATATCGCCACTGCATATTTCCTGCCCATCATTGAAATTTCAAAAGAATTTTCAATAACTACAAATACCCTAAATATTTGCATCAAATTCTTTACGCTACCGAATTTTTCGGCTAAACGAAAATTTTAATGTTTTCACAAAATTACTATGTTGTGAATGAAACCGATTTTCTGTCTTTCAGATCACCACCTGATTCTAATTCTGTGTTCATTATAACGCGGACATTCTGGCCTCACTACCACTATTTAATACCCTATGATTACAAATCCGGAGAATACGGTACCTATGGTAAGTAAACAGTTCAGAAATACAAATGTCGTGATTTAGTCCTTAAATTAATTATCATCAAAATCTTTAATTTTACATCATTTCACGATTCACATGTCCTGTGGTTTTACATTTGACATATTCAATATATGAACTTCAGCTTAATCTAACATTTATAAATTATCATAGAATTTACCAGTCGTATAATCGGCGTAATTAATTATTCTAAATAAAATTTTCAAAAGAAAATGTGATATATGCGTTATATGTTTTTCTGAGTAGAAAGAATAAAAAACAAAACACAACACATGTTTCAGACTCCGGTTGTTCGAGTGCTTTCATTAGAGTTTGGGCAGCACTCGGTATCGCCACAGGTCTTCGTACAGTGGAGACGAACACGATACAGAAGGCTTTGGCTGAGATGGCAAAAACCAAAAAACCTCTTCAAATATGCCTAGAAAATGCCCTAAAAGATCAAACTTTGTCAGATCAGCATTATCTCAAACGAGAATAATATTTATCTTTTTTTGTTTTATTAATTGTTACGAATTTTAGTGACATAAATTATAATTAATTAGAAACGAAGGAAATCCTTGAACTAATTACCTTAACTACTGTATGTTTAAGTATCAGATGTAAACCCAAAACTAGAATTCGTTTCCCATGTCGTTTTTACTTAAAAATTATTTGTATTTAAGAACTAAGTTTTATTATATATATTATATACGCGTTTTCATTTTAACCTCTGTGGAAAATAGAAGTTGGCACTAGTTCTATTTATCAATTTAATTTTATGCTACCACATTTCTTGAAAAACTGTTAAAAAATAGCACTGTGTTCAACTTTTTGCAATACACATAAAAAATTCAACTTTGTACAAGCCGCTCTTTTTTCACTGACGTGATGAAAACAACGTGACAACTTAATGTTTTAGTTTAGTGTTCAATAAAAATAAAACTAGTAATCATACCAAACAAAGTATATTTTACCATTGTGACTGTGACCTAATTTTACTACATTTTATCGCATGAGATCTCTACATTTATATTAAAATTATTATATACTGTGTCTAGTATTAGATTCTTTAGACAAAACGGTCAATTATTGGAACTGAAAAAGAAATTTAAGAATCTCTTGTACCATTTATGCAGTAACTTTATTTGCTGTTGTCGATTCTTCCAAGAGTATTCTGCTACACCTAAAATAAATAAAACGATAATAATTATACGAATTATATTTCACTCATAATTATGTACATTGAAAACGTTTTTCCATTATTAAGCCGCTAATGTGCTTACTCATCCAATACTTGAAAGGTGCAAGAGAATAAGAGCATGCATAGCCATTAATCACGCATCACCTCTTTAAACTTATCTATAACCTACAAATTTAATTCACATGCTCAATTTGGCCATGTAAAAATCAGGTATCTTATTTTCTCTTTCCCTTTTGATACCATACATTTCTGCATCTATAGATCAATTCCGCATATTATTTGCCTTAAGCCTTTGATATATTTGATGTGAATTTGATATGTTTATAAAGGCAGAATGAATGACCTACTGAATCAATCTAAACTCTGACCTTAATATCCAGAATGATTGATTGACGACGTGTTCTTGTAACTTATAATAAATCATCTGCTTAAATTATTGGTCAGCATTTAGAATAGGGGCAGAATATTTTCTAACCCTTTCTTTCAAGAAATTAAACAAAGTAAAAATAAATAAATATTTATAACATATACAACTCTAATTAGAATACAAAATCTTACCCATAAACGCTGCTGTAACAAGTCCACATGCCAGTAAAATTAGAGCTGATCGCACATCAATGGCACGAGCTGAAGCAAACCCTGCCGGCAACGTACACTGTGGCATTTCAGGAACTAATGCAGCTTCTAACCGAGCCAAGATTCCTCCGCTACGAAGCTGAAGAAGACTGAAAGATGTCCGCATTAGTTAACTATTAACAAAAAAACTGCAAATTGCCACAGACACGATATAAATGCATTACGTATTCGTCAAATAAATTAAGTTAACAAAATTAAAACTACATTCGCGATATAATTAAAACTGAATGACTTTCATATTACAAAGTGAGTTGTGGTCAAGCAAATTTGTTTTGAGGCGTGCTCGATCAGACTTCATAGCCCGCGTTATTGTAAATGTGTAAAAACAGTATATGGAATATTTGTTACCTTACTAAAGTCAGTCTAGCATAAGGCGAATATTGGGGTAAAGGGAACGCGAGACTAGCTCTTGTTGTGTAGACTGGCAGCTCACGGATGGCGCAACGACCGCGGGCTTGGCTCAGTGATCTAGTCAATAGTTAAATATTTTAAAGTGGTTTCAATAGCTGAAAATTTAGGTTGTAACTAGAAAAATATAATTTAGTGTTTTACAAATTAATGATCTAGAAGGAAACTGTTTTTTTTTTCGAATACGAGACAAAACTAGTGTAAACTAGAACACCTGTTTGTTGATCATAGATAACCAGGAAAAAAATATTTATATGGTCAATGCAGGGGCAGGGTGGCAAGGATAAATACGCTACGCGCGAAATGCCTTGCATGAGTTCTACCTCATCCGAGGCTCGGACATGGGCTGTCAAACAACAAGCGAGCTTAGTCAATTCAACTCTAACATGCCACTCCAACCACCCCTCACCATAGGTCGTAACTGAGGAGATTTCATTCTGGCCTAAAAAAAAAAGTTCAAGTGATCTTCGCAACTTCCTTAATCCGTGTTGGATCTGCCTAAAAGTATTGAAGATAAAATTAGTTTTAAATTAATTATAACGGCAAACTTCAGCTGTAACGAGTTCAGGATTATTTTCATATTATTATCATTTAATCAGCCTGCGTTTTAAGCCGTATATTCAAAATAAACTATTGTAGGATGTATAAAAATGAATCGTGTAAAAAAAGGGTGGAACGAAGCGTTAAGGTATGAATGAAAGTAAATGGTAAAAAAAGAAAAACAATAAAATAAAAAGTAAGATGGCGGTGAAGATTGAGTAAGTGATGTGTAAAAAAAAGGTGTTACTTAATTTCTAATTATATTAACAGGGAAAATTTAGTATGAGAACAAAAAAACAACAATACAGTGAATCAGTTTTATTTTATGCCCAACGATCCCAATTCTACATTATACAGATAAACTATTAAATAGATAAATAAACTCCCAAACAGGTTTCATTGTAATAAAAACACATAATTGGAAGGTTTAGATTAGTAAGCTGAAGTGGCAATGGGCTGGCCATATTCGCCGGAGACTCGTTGAAGTAAACGTGTTCTTGAGTGGAGACCGCGAATTGGCAAACGTAGTGCAGGGCGCACTCAGACTCGTTGGAGTGACGATCTATGCAGGGTAGCTGGAAAATGTGAATGATAGAAGCCGAGGATCGTGCTCAGTGGGGTGCAATTGGAAAGGCCTTTGTCCAGCAGTGGACTGCTACAGGTAGATGATGATGATGATGAAACATACATACGGGTGATATTTACTTTGTGACTCATAATGAAAACTCACGCTCACGCTACCTGAGCTTTACCTGAATAATAGGGCCAAGACTCAGCAACAATAGGTGGCATTCACCTTGAAACATGAAAGGGTTCTATTCCAATACGATAACATCTATTTCATTCTACACGCTCTTACTAGAGCCAGTGTTAGCAACACTCCTAGTTTGAGCCCCGTAAGCTCATCTACACGTCAAAGAGGAGCTAAAATAGCCTCTCAGGGCTATCAGCATAGGTAGGGAAAAAAAAAATAATTACACACTTCAAACAGAACGTATGAGTGATTTGAGGAAACAATAGGATAGTCCTCATCCCTGCTATACCCTTGAGTATACCGATCCGTGCAAGCCCATTAGACTTTCTACAAGCAAAATGTATTGCATAAAAAATACGCGCATCCACTATCTTGTATTCACTGAACAGCTTGCCTTAGCGTGGACCTCGCTGCTCTTTGTTCAGCAAAAAATGCATAATCCTGACTGGCCGCACGAGCGAGACCTTCCTCTGCTGATGACACCAAATTTTCAGAGTCAGAATAACCACGAATATAGAATGCATTTAACTGCGTATCTTTCGTAGACTGAAACATGAAATGGAAATAAAAAATACAGATTTATAAGAAAATAAGATAAAACAATGAACAAAAACCATTATTTTTAAGCTACTACAAAGCTTTTATCGCGGGCTTTGAACGAGGGACCGAATCAAGATATTCCGTAACGAAAATAAAACCTAACATCCCCCACTCCGACTACCATGTAGCTCGCGTTCAACACACACGTTACGTTCACACGTTGCGCTTGTGTAGTGTTTGTTAATAAGCGCGCGGCGTGACGTCGCACTGCATGCGCATCATGCAAAGCCTGCCCAACTCTCTCTCGCGCGGTCTAGCTTATGAGTGTGAAGAAGACAGTTAATGATTTGCTTTTGTTAATGTTTATAAATATAGCGTGGTCTTATTTTATTATTGTTTTAATATAATGTAAGGTATTGTTTTAATATAATAATTTGTTTTAATAATTTATCTAATTATATAATACAATAATTTGTCTAATTATAATTGCATAAGTTGATAAAAAATGTTATGCAATAGCTTCACCGCGGCAGTCCCCGAGTGCCCAACGTGTTCTTTTTTATATATTACTTGACAGCATGCCTACCATGAGATACATTTGATCAGCTCCGTTCCTTATATATCCGATTTTAATAGTAGGAGATTGTAAAACGGCAGCCACAGTATCCACACTGGCGACTCGCACTGACAGTACCGAAGTTATAAATGCAGCGTAGGCATTATATGTGATTACAGCAAAAAATAAACAAACGATGAGGATTATACTGGCTGCTGGGCTCTGAGGAGTCCACGAACCGCCTGTGAACAAACAAATATTAAGTTAAAATTTAATGGCATTATTTACAAAAGCTACTAGTTCCTTTGAATAAAAAGAAAACGCCTAACGTATTAATTGATTTACAGCAACTTTCACTACTACTGGCTGAACCAGGCATTTTTATTGGTTAGTTGGGTGGGTCCCACGCGGTATTTAGTAACCACTTAGTAGTAGTTACTTAAGTAGTTACTGGAGCCCATAGACATCAACAACGTAAGTGCCGTCACCCACTTTGAAACATGAATTTTATCTAAGACGTGAAGAATTGAAGTTGCATGGGACAACGGCTGGATAGCCTTCTAACCGAAACGCATTACTACTTCACGGCTGGTGGTAGTTGCCCATACGGGAACACAGGACACGATACACGGTAGGTTGCCATCAGTGGTAGGTCTTGAGTTACCTTCCTGTAGTCGAATGTGACGGGCTTCGAATATATTACTCCTATGACGGTACGATGCATTACTCTGCACTTAAACATTTAGTTCCTTCAAAGAAAGCTACTACCTTTTTTTTTCCTCAACCGGAGAGTTGCTAACACTGACCCTAGCAAGAGCAGTGCTTCGCAGAATCTACCGCCGGATCGGAAACGCGACCCACTGAGAAGATCTGGCGAGAAACTCAGTGGGCTGTGTCTATGGGTTAGTTCGCTCGTCGAGCCCTTCGTCGCAAGCGACGGGTTCGACGAGGACGGTAACCGGGGCTACTACCAGGCGTTTGTTTGTATTGCAGTGAAATCACATGAACCAATTACTACAGAAAACAACGGCAAAAGTTGGGGTTGCACCGGCTGTGGAACCCTAATTAAAACAACCCTCCGTTGTTTTTCCACCCAATTAGTGTTCTATCCTTTGCTGAGATAGAACACGACATGTTCATGTGCCGGCGTAAAAAAAACGCTAATTATTTAGTTGCAAGAATTACACAAATCATACAGGTACCTTGTTGGCAGAGTATCCCCGTAGACCAAACCAAGGCCTCGATATAACCAATTCTCCGAGCACTAACGTTTTGCGGCGTTACTCGGCTGATAGTTACAACAGCGAGTGATGCTATGAAAGCT